TCTCAGAACAAAATATAAATAGCCTTCATCTTCCTCATCTAGAACATAAAAATCCATCAAATAAAGATCTTTAATTTTGATTTTGCAAATTTACCAATTAACTATGTGCCACTCAGAAGTAAAATGCACTCATAATGCATATTTGTCTTTCTCAAAATGTGAAAGTTTTCTGTTTCTGTGTCTGACTGCATGAGTTTTGCCTTTCGAATACCTCCCTAGCAGCTTCAAAATGCGCGAAGGATTGAACACCTCAGGCAATGAAAATTAAGGAGTGAGCAATGAAGACTGAATTAAGGAGCCATAAATGAAGATGAAACATGTAATTAATCACAAACAAATTGTTCATTTGGTTCAAATTCGCATTATTCATTCTAGGCAATTCATGTTCCAATTCATTGGTAAGTTCAGCCTTTTATATTAATTAATAGAATTAAAGTAATTAATTTGCTTTTTTTTTTTATATATATAAACTATAAATAAATTTATTCATCAATAATAAAAAAACACAAAGGTTACAAGCTAATTCATATGATATAATGTACTAGAGACATTAGAAAATCTAATCTTAAAAATGTAAAATAATTAGTTAAATATTTGATAATAAAACAATCTAATAGTTGTATGAATATTATAATCAAATCTAATTTTTGATTTGATAATAAAGTTATAAGTTAATATAAAATACTATAACATAAAAAAAAGTAATTATTGAGATAATTTATTATTAAAAAACATTCCACAATAATATAATATTTATCTACTATATCTCTTGTTCTAAATTTTTAGTTAAAAAGTTATAAAATAATAGTAAAATTCACACAATTATTTTAAAAAAAATAAATTCTCTCATAAAATAGCCTTAAATTGAGACAAGAACCCTTTAGTAGAAAAAACTTAAAGAGTAAAATAAAATATAAAACCTTGAAAAAAAGAAAAAGAAACCAAGAATCAAGAAGAGAAAAAGGGGAAGAAAGGATGAGCAGTAGAACAACGGAGCAGACCCTTTTTGTCCGTATTTAATTAGCTATTGTTTAAATCTCATTTAGTTCGCCAAACTTTTTTGTGAAATCTCTTTTTAGTTTTTAAACTGAAAAAAAAAAAAAAAAATCCTTAAAGTTTAATATTTTTTGGTTCTTTTTAATTATTTGGTTGAGTTTTTGCTTATATGACATATTAATTGATAACAGAATAAACTGTTCTTTGGTTCGAATTAGGATGTAAAAATTCCACAAAATAAAATTTAGTTATGTGGACAAAATTTGTTGTTACCATTGACTTTAATTACAAAATTGCCATAAATAATAGTTAAATTGAAATTATAGTGAAAATTCAAAATTACCTAATACTCCTCGTATTCTTCTCCCGAAACTTATCCCTTCGCAGTCTCCCATCCGAAACCCAGTCTCCCTCTTCTCCAACCTTCTCCTCCATCATGGTCCAAAAACTTTAACACTGATTTCCTTCAATTCAGTGGACACTATGGCGTGT